TTAAGACCATTAAGATTTTTCTTGTGTATGTCATCCAAACATTGTATGGGGAGAGGAGGAGCTTTGAAATAGTAATAATTGAAGAAGCTCTAGATGAAGATGAAATTTCCAACTAGGAAAGTAAAAGGAGAGAAAATATGACTTGCCTCGAAATGTCTTAGTTTCTTTCTAAGAAACCACCTGATTTGGTTCTCACATCTACTGGCAGAAGAAACAAAGCTGGACAGACCAACTAATTTGTCCTCCAGGACTAGGTCGTATGATTGTTGAATGGTACATCTGAAAGCAGAATTCACATACCCTAACTAACTCTGACCACCAGCATCACTCACTTTTATATTTGACAGGAAGACAAAACTATTCAAAAGAAAATGGTATTGGATGCAGCAGAACTGTTCCACAACTCTTACAACTATAGCCTTTATTCAAAGCGGCGAGCTATGTCCTGTCTCATTTGCCCTGAGGCCCTGATTACTGGCCCCTTATCCTAAACCTTCATGCTGTCTTTCTGATTTTCCTAATATTAGGAAGGGTATCAGGACTACGAACCCGAAGCCTAAGAACTATCTTTGCTCCCAGTTTCCTGAGATCTGCTGACATCCTGTACAAGTGCTCAGTTCCAGCGTGCCCAGTCATGACATTTTCTCAAAGTTTTCACAGTGTATTTCGAAGTCTTCCATCAGCAGTGATTGGAGTATCTGTACCTGCCCCAACTCAGCATTTCGGTGCTTCCCTCTCACTGAATATATGGTAGCAGGGTCGTTGTGTGCTGTGGATATTGTGGCTTCAAATCTAAAATGTTAAAGCAAATTAAAAACACCTAAGTGACTACCACTTATTTCTAAATCTTCACTATTTTTTTGTTGCTGTTGTTGAAAAATTGTGAGTGATTTACTATCATATATTATAGAAGATTTTAAGGTGTCTTTTAATGATTCTGTCTAAGAATAATGATGTATTGTGCAATTTGTTAATATATACAATACTTAAACATGTGAGCATGAAACTATGCACCTATAAATATTAACTATAAAATTTTATTGTTTTGTGATGTTTTATTAATTCGTGTTTTCATAAAAATTGTGACAGCTAAAATGTTATGTCATTACGAAAATCTTTCTATCCCATCTCACTTTAATGATAAAAATCATGCTTATAAACAACATGAAATGAGAAGTGACACAATAAAATATAAAGTCCTTGCCAGCCATTTGATGAAGAAGAAATTTTAGACGTGTTAAAAAGGCCAGATGGAACATTAACCCTCTACCTTGGGAATTCCCTGAAACACCACCACCCAATGTTCTGATGGCACTGGTGTCTTAAGAGGCTCTACTAAAAAAGTGAGTTCCATGGACTAGAGAAGTGATTTTGAGTACATCCCCTTAAGATATTCATAAGACACATTACCATTTCATGCATTAAAGACTCTGAGGGAACCTGGTTAACTTTAACCCAGCATTTTCTTTTTCTTCTTTTTTTAAATCAAATCTTTTTCCTTCTAGGAAATACCTGTAAGCATTTCTGAGAACTACCAGAGAATCACCTTAAAAATGTCAGCTCTCTAGATTTTATGAAAGCCTCCTACTCCTTTAAATTTTGCTAGATATATAAATTATAGGATATTTCTTTAGGAAAGACTTTTCTACTTAGGAAATGTCTGTTAACTCCCCATGGGTGCTGACAATAAATGTGAATGTCAAAAGACCTGTATAAATCAATTATTTAGTTTGTCTTTTTAATTATTCAGGAGAAAAATGGCAGAGTCCCTTTAAAAAGTCACCAGTAGAAAGCAGAATTTTTAGACAGAATATTCTAGAAGCACTAGGCACATTCTATGTAGTCATGAGTAATCTGATGTATATTAGGAATTGGCAAGGAAGGAAGACAGAATGAATATAATGACTATAAGCATGATCACCATAGAAGCTTCCTTTTTTACCTAATTGGAAAGAGACCACCAAGTGTTAAGCTGCCTGTACAGTCTTAAGCTGGAGAGAAGTGGTAAGTCTCTTGTTTCATTTAGATGTGTTAATGAGTATTCCTAAACCACATGGAACAGTAAAATCTTTTGTACAAAAAGCATTCTATTCTAGTACTAATATGAGCATAAAAAATGCCATAGGAAGATACATACCATAGTGGTTGTCCTGAACCAAGCATTTAAACAAAAAGTTGCACAAGAGAAGAAGCCTTTTCAGGAAGATTGTCTCACAGCCACTGCTGAGACAACCCACAGACAACCTGACCTGAGGGCTAGTCTGCTCCTAGGTTTAATTTGCAGACATCAGTCCCCCAAGTCTGATTTATTCAGCCTCATATGTTTCATGAGATCTTCAGCAAAACAGGTCAGGAAGAGCTTTGGCACATGACTGGCAGCACAACAATCTAATATATGGTTTAGCATTCCAAGTCAGAGCTTCCTTGGTCGCCCTACCAGTATGAGATGCAAATATATTCCTCATCCTTCTGGCTCATCCAGTGAGTAACAATTGGATCAACCACACACAGATGTACACACAGACACATATACCCAGGCTTCAAGGACAACCATTAGTTCTCAGGGACAGTGCTGTCCACATCCATACTGAGGAAGAAAAACAGTTTTCTAACTACAAACTTGACAGATTCCTCTGTCGACTGCACTGACAGTACTCTGCATCCTGGGGTGCATTCATCCTACTGTGTTCTGTCTTGAGCGGGAGCGCAACAGAGCTGGCACTTCCCTGTTTGCCCTGTCCCTGGAATCTGAATCGAAGATACTTTTTTTTTTCCTCACTGTGTCAAGTATAGAGGTAAGTGATTTGTCAGTAGTAACTCAAAAGTGATACTCATGTGTATGGAGATTTATTTCTAATTCTAGGAGAAATTAGCCAGCTCCTGATCACTCTGACTGATCCTTCCTTATAACTAAACTACGCATATCCTGTCACAAGAACTAAGTTATCTATTTTAGTGAAAGATAAAAATATTATTATAATAGTAGTCACAATAAAGCAGGCTGTGTCATTTCCCTGTTGCATCATGTGTACTTAGCTTCTGTCAAATGGCAAAAAAATACATATATAGAAAGTATAACTAAAATTGTTCAATTTTACATTTTTATAATGTAATGACTGAATTTATAAATGAATAAACTAGAAAGGG